CCGCCGACGCCGTCGAAGGCGAGCTTGGGCAGCGACGCGTACTCGCGCTGGAGCGCGGGCACGATGGGCTCGTCGTCCGCGAAGACCTGGAACAGAGAGGTTCAACGTCGCTTCAACGTGAGTGTGCCGCGCGCGCGCGTTCCGGAACAAGCATCCACGCGTCGAGGCCGTTCCAAGAGATGATCGCTCGTCCAAAAATCGGCCGAAACGAGTGGCAAACGGCCGAGCGAGGAGCCTTTGACGTTGGGAAGTTCGCGCTCTTTTCCCGCCCCGGCGAAGACCTTGTAGGCGCCGAGGAACTCGAGCCAGGCCTTGGTGTCGGAGAAGTTGTCGTGGCGCCGCGTGATGGCGATGGCCCGGATGTTCATGAGGCGGCAGAGCTGGATGACGACCTGGCCGACGGCGCCGTTGGCCGCGTTGACGACGAGCGCGTCGCCGGCCTTCAAATCCGCGGCGACGGTCTCCATGAGGTAGTAGCCCACGCAGAGCTCGCGGTGGAGGGCCATGTACTCGACGGGCATGATCTCCTTGGGCACCTTCATGAAGTCCTTGTCGTCCCAGATGGAGAGCGACGTGAACGTGCCCAAACCGTCGCGGAGCGGCACGACCCAGTCGCCGTCCTCGACGTCGCGCACGCCGGGGCCCACGACCTCGACGACGCCGACGCCGGAGCAGCCCAAAGCGTGGGGCGGCTGGAGCTGCAAATCGTCGCGGAACAAGGTCTCCGTGCCGTGCTTCGCGATGAAGAGGTCCAGGGGCGAGATCGTCGCGGCCTGGATGTTGATGAGGCACTCCTTCCAGTCGACCGTGCGCGGGATCTTCTGGAAGACGACCTCCGTGCAGCGCGCGGCGACGGACGCGCCGTCCGCGCCGGGCTTCTGGGGCCCCGGCGACGTCTTCTTGACGATCGTCGTCGCGCGGACCTTGGGCAGCCGCACCTTCTCGTAGGAGTCCTCGGCGATGTTCGCCTTGTCCTGCATCAGGGTCTCCGTCGTGACGACCATGTTCTCCGTGTTGCGGCTCCGCATCCACGCCTCGAACGACTGGCTGG